CTAGTGTTGAAACTAGATCCTCATAAAACTGTTGCTTTCACAGGACAGAAATTAACCTTATCTGAATAGTTTTAGAATGATCTTGAGCTGTATCAGTACAAATATAAGAGCACATAGACTAGTTTACGCCCATGGACCACTATGGAACCTACTTTTCTTCAGAATCGCTATCGAGTATTGAGCCTTTTCCTTAGTATCAAAATCAAGCTTAAATGTTAGTATTGTGACAACACTAGGTCACCATAATTGTATTGTATTCACAGTTTCATGCACTAAACAGTGATCCTTGTTCTAGCATCTGCGTTCCTTTTTTTGAACAATATTCGTTGAGCTGAACATTCATTGAAACTTAGTGTGTATCTCATTTGTTTTGCTGCCAGTCGCCGATTTATCAGATTTGTTTTTTCCGCTTCACCAACCATGGCACCTGCTCTCTCTCTCTTTCTCTCCTCCATTCAGTTCTTCCACTCGTATTATTTTCATTTTTACTTTGTGTGTGTTATCTGTTATCTGGACGTTGATAAAGTCTGGCGTCATGATAATTATTAAAATTTCTGTCTGGGGGTTGGTGAAACGTAATACTCCCTCCTGAATTCTGTGTCATTTTTCATGCAGTACCAGTTATGCACTACCTGTCCAGCAGAGGCCCTCGCTGGGATACCGGGATAATGATCACCTGACTGGCCTCTTATATGAACTTCCTGCCTGTGTGACGTCTCTCTCTAGGTCATTGCTGGTCAGTCTGCTTTATAGCTGTATTTTTTTCTCCAGGTTAGAGCCACCTTTGCTGGTCGGGCTTGTTTACAGTCACCGCAGCAGGCTACCCACAGAGTGACCTGGACAGTAGCAGATACCCTTTTCAAAGTTCACCTTTATTTTGACTTAATTTGGACAAACTTGTTGAAAATACAGCTGTAGGATTAAAGATGTGTTGTGTAACTTTTCTGTTGGGGGGGCTGCTATGATGCTGTTGCTTTGCCGGGGATGTTCCATAGTAGAGCATTATATGGATCACAATAACATTTATTCAATTCTGGGTGTTTTTGTTGCTAAAAAAAAGACATTGAAAAATTCACATCTTTACTGCGAGTAGGACTTTCTCTCTACAGATTTTACCTGTGACTTGTTTAAATGGCATACCTTGTTTATCACTAGGGAGGATAGATACATTTAAAGCCATACTCTGGAATATTCAAGGCAAAGTAATAACATCTCCATAGTGAAAAGGTGGCAGATCCTCCACCAGACATGTTACATAATGCACCTTTATTTCAGTGTGTTTGCTGCAGTGCTGGTTATGTCAAATGGCACAAAAGATTATGTCATTACTACTTTGTGAAATTGGATCTAGGGCTACTCATGGCTAATTACAAGTGTTCATTATTGGAGGGTGCTTTACAATGCAAAGGTCATAGCTGACTGTAATATTTCTTAATAATAGGATTGCACAATATACTTTCAAAAGACATCAAAACTGCAGTTTGAGTTGGTGTGTATCAAATCACAAAAGCTGCAATTATTTATATAATAGAATGTTTTCTGTAAAGAACTAAGTATTCTGTCTTTTTTCTCTCTCTCTGAAAAAAGCAATTAGATTTATTTCCAAAATTGTGCATCCCTAAGTAAGCATTAAACACTGAGGAGCCGCACTTCAAGTTAAAACTGCATAATGCATGACTCCGAGTTGTTTAATGTGCTTATACCATGTTACAAGCTGAAATGTCTCACCTGTGAATTTGAAAAGTCTGTTAACTGTCTATAAATGTCTAAAATATAAGTTATTTCAGCATTTTAAATGAAGCTAGTTCCTACTTCCTACTCACAGCAGTTTGTTGGGGATGGCCGCTGAGCAGTGATATTGAATGTGATTTAAGCCAAACTGTTGCCGGACTACTTGCATTATGCAGTATTAACGTTATTATGCAGTATTAAAGTGCCTATGACAGAACATATTTCACTAAAACACAATTAAGATCATTATGTTTTAGATTTTACTTCTTCTTCTTTTCCCAATTTGGCCATTTTTTAGGTATTAAATTTTACTTCCCATTTGGAGAATTCCATAACTGATCCCTAGCCACCATACTGTATACCTTTATTTTGCAGAAATAAAATTACAAGTAAAAAAAAAAAAAAGGTTTGTAAGTAAAAATTGTGCCGAACTTTTGAACAGAAATCTCCCTAACACTATTTTATCAGTATCTCTAAAATAGAACTCTCTACTTTCTGTAAATTTCAACACGTTTTTCAACTTTTCTCTGCAAATTGCTTCTTGGTTGTTGCAAACTATAATTTACATTTACAACAAGTATTATTCAACAAAATTAAGCCAAAATTTGAGATTAATCTGAAACATATGCACAACAGCTAACCATTGGTATTTTCTCTGACCATGGGACAACGTAATGCAATTAATAATATACATGTCTAAATTAACTCTATGTTTGCTCATTTTGCTTTACTTACCTGACTTCTATACCAACCACACTCCAACAGCTGGATGAGTTTAGGTCAAGACTCCTGCAGAGCTCCATACAGATCAAGTGTCCTTGAGTGAGGCTGAATGATTACCGGCTCCATACTGCAGGCCTGTTTAAATATAAAAACAGTCAGTACTTAAAGTGATTGGCACTCGGTAGTCTGTAGAGATATATGGGAAATATCAGCAATGAAATGTGTATTGGACATTGATTTAACTTCACACATTCTTCACTTTCTGCTCATAAGTATGGTTTATAAGGATTCATAAAAGATATATTTTTGAAAACACCCAGTATACTAAACAGAACTACTTCTTCAGTATCCATATACACCGAATTCATAAATCCTTTTGATAATATCGAAACTATTGCATTAAAAAGGCTAGTGCTACCACAGCAAGAGCTACTGCTTTTAGGTTATAGCAGTATTTCTTCTAGGCTTAAGTTACTGTGTGTTTCACTAAAGAATAACCTCTTGAGTGCGCCAATAGCCAAGACCATTTATAGTGTATTGAACAATTTTCAGAGCTTGATATAGCCTTATGAAAGGTATTTACTACACTACACCATAACCTACTGCAATACCAGGGGCGCAGAAACTCGTATAATACAAGGACCCCCTTGAAAACGAGATGGTGACACATCTCAAGGGGCTTATCCTCCAAACAAATAAATTCAAATTCATATAAACCTGTATCGTGGACTATGTATTTACAACATTATATTTGTATATTAAGGGGTTTACATTACACAAAATTGATTCTTGTGACAGTTAAGTCATATTATAATGTTGTTACCTCATCAAAAACGTAACCGGAGTTGTGTTTTGTTCCATTCACACATGTTTGAGTAATCCTGATTTATTATTTTAGTCTGTCTACTAGGGGATGTAACAATAACCAAAATATTGTGATCGTATCGTCAAAGTTCGCACAATAATATCGTGGATCATCACAATATATCGAATTACAAGTGTCTTTGCTTAAATGAAGAGTTATGGTGTAGCAACAGATAAAAGCACACAGAGGGAACTACATAGACCATGATCCTTTGCTCCATTTCAGTGCAGAATACAAGAAGAAATAACAGTTCTAAGCACTTTTAAGTCTTAGTTCTTTGGATTAAGTCTTGTTAAGGGATTTTTTTGTTAGCCTCCACAAAATATCGCAAATAAATATTGTACCATGAGATGTATATTGTGAAAATATTGTACTGAGAGATTTGAATATTGTTACATCTCTAATCGTGAGCCTCCCCACCATATCGTGAGCTTTCCCACAATATTGCAATAAATATCGTACCGTGAGGTTCATACCGTGATGATATCGCATTGTGAGACTTGGATATCGTTACACCTCTACTGTCTACATCTCCAAAACTCAAAATGCTCTGTCCATTGTTGCAATTCCGAGGCTGAAATCATCCAAATGTTTCTAGAGAAGGTGTATGAAGTTTAAAAACACAGTGGAGCACTTTCTGAATTACCACATGACATCACAAGGTGGGAGTGTGAGCGAAACAAAACGCAACTCCAGGCATGTTTTCGATGCTGAAACATTGTAACGTAGGCCTAGATCAGAAAATAGCGTAATATAGTCCCTTGAATATACTAAATATACACTTTCGTAAGCCTCCGCAGCCGTCATGTAGACCAATAAAAAGTTACTTAACAAGATTGCTGGCGGGAAAACACCAATTTGTTCTTATCTTCTTGAGTCATGAACAAAACCAGATACATTTCCTTTCAGTCTCAGGAGGGATCTGCTTAACATTAACCACAAATACATGCGCTCGTACCATTTCACCGAGGCGCTTCCGGGAATTGGGCCACGTTTTCTGCGTAAATGACCACCCATAAAAAAAAGAATAATAACACGCTAACAGGTGCATAATTACTCAGATAATTTAGTGTTACTGTGCAGACACACCACTTATCTAGTTGTCCACTTTTCTTAGTCATTGAAGAAATATTTAACGCGTGTTTGCGCTTGATTAATGGTTTCCTGGGAAAAATAAAGCTATTGCGCGTTAGGTGGTTGTACCAGTGTGACCACATTGCTGACTGTGTGATTAATTCGGTTAGCCTTCATTACTTACAATTTGTTTGCCCTTACTGTTGATTCTTGTGACAGTCGTGGTGAGTAATCTGATTAAGTGGAATTTTCTCTTCCTCTTCCATTTATAGATTTACCAGATGACCGATAGTTGTGAACTCTATTGTTAGAGTCACTGTAAGGTTATTTGCTGATAGGGTGGCTACCTCGATAAGTAGAAAAAGAGGGTGAGGGTGGAGGGGAAAAAACCCCGAAATAAAACATCTAAATCTCACTTTTAATAACTCACGTGGCGTCAATAAAAAGTAGGGTATTGTTCTAATAAGTAGGACGAGGTATTGGGAGCTTGTTTTGTAGAATAACTTAAAGAGAGTTCAGTGGTCACTTTATTTGTAGCCCCGCGCAAAACTTACTGACACGTTGTTTCTGTTTCCCCCAGCGCCTGCAGAGGGCATTGTTTCAGGCCAAAAGCCCCGTGTATGAGCTGCTGGTTCTGCTGGTTCCTCCTCCTCCCTCCTCTCGCGCTCTATCCTGGCGCTCCGCTCCATACTCTCTATTTCACCTGCGCTCCGCGGCTGACAACACCACTACTCGGGGTTCCCTTTCGGACTTTCCACGCCGCCTTCACCGCTACAGTGACATATCTCCGGGCTCTAGGCTATTTGATCTCCTCACTCCGACTTCAAATCACCGTCTGTCGCCAGAGGTTTTCCCTGGACCTTGAGTCTACTTTCCAAGGATGGAGTCGGCTGCTTTCCTGTTGCTGTTTTCCGTGTGCGCTGGGACGCTTCTTCAAGGTAAGACTCGTTCTTATAATATGCTGCCGAACTCAGGTCACCAAAGTGTGCATTTAAAGAGGCAATGAGTAGATTTCCGTATTTTATTTCTTTTCTATGGCTACTCCGGCGAGGAACTCCGTGGCAGCGAATAACTTGCACCTGAAGTTATCGCTTTGACATTGTTACAGTGATGGATATCCCTGACTGCGCTTCTGCTGTTTTAGACTATAGCTGATCAATGACTTATTTTTTCATAGACAATACAGCTCATATTTACTGAAAGGTTTGGCAGTTTGTCAGGGTATAAATATCCCAAAGGGAAAAAAACTCGTTTTTGATGAGTTTTATAGCCTCCAGCCACGAGTTTTGGAGCATTTTGCCCGCGTCAACCTTACGCACTAGACTGTAAATAAACAGGTAAACGACATGCAGGTGTGCTCAGGCTGCGCAGCCCCGGGGGTAATGACTTTAATAAAGCCCACTCCCTGACCGTCTCTGACCAAACAAACAGAGCCCCCTCCTCCTCTCCCTTCTCCCGTGGAGCGGTAATGCGGTGTCATGGTGCTGAATGTGAACCCCGGGGTGAAGATGTGGTCGCTGCTATCAGATCATTTGTTTGTAATTAGTGGATGTGGTTGTTTAGATCCACGTGTAATCCAAGCCTCTGTTTGTGTGTCTAGAGCGTGGCTTGGTTTGTGCAGCCTGTTTATTATTGGCAGTGTTTAAAAAGACCAGGAGAAGAATGCCACACACAGTTAATGGCTTTTGTCTTTATGTGACTCTTGGCTAACACACAAATGAGTTGGACTTGTAGCACTAATCTTTTCCCACACATCTAATAAGAATAGCCTGGTATGTTTGTAATGTCACTGATAATTCTGTGTCTGTATGGGAACTGTATTCAAAGCTCCTGGGGCTGTCTAACTCCTATTTTGGGACGCAGCCCTCAGCCTCAGCCTGTCTAATTTCAAAGGCTGATAGCGAATGTCTTTTCTTGGTGGAAAAACAAGGAGCATGCTCCTAAAAGCATCTCAAAGTATCACCCGGACTGGCACCGTGACAGCGGCCAGTGTCACTTACCCTGGATAAGTGAGAATAAATGTTTTTTTCTCTCTGCCCTTATCTCATGAGTTGTGTTGTGTCAGTGGCCATCTCTTGGCATTCACAGAGCTGCTCTTTGTCAGGCGGCTGGAGGGCAGGCAGCCTGTCTGGCCACTGCCTTGGTGTGTGTGTGTGAGGGGCATTGGGCGTAGTGTATGTGCGTGTGTGTGTGTGTGTGTGTGTGTGTGTGTGGGGGGGGAGGAGGGAAGGGGTGGGGGGCTGGGCGTAGTGTATGTGTGGGGCAGTGGGCGTTCTGTCTGTGGGGGACAGTGGGCGGAGCGCAGGGGGTGATTGGTGGCATAGCTGGACGGCCAGGGGCTCCATCTCCATCACTTGATCTGATCTGAACCGGCTCCGCTCCACTGACTTCACGGAGGCAAAGAGGGGGACACTTTTTTGTATCTCTGGTCACATTTCATTCATGATGAAATCCATATTTATCCTGAACATAATGACAGATAGCACCAGCGCAGATAGCAGCCCAAGTCAGTTTCCAGCTTGATCTGTAGCATTCCACACATCAAAGAGTGAGGACTTTCAAAGCCAGTTGGAAACTTAGAAGTTTGAAACCACAGGAGGCGTTTCAGGGTGACTTTAGCGTGGTATGCTGCCAGTGCAGATGTGAAGGATACAGCACAAATGGGCTGTTAACAGAGAGAGAGGTGCATAGTAAACACTGTTAGACAAAGTCATCATTAGTGACAGGGAATGACATTTGAAGAAAAGCCGTAGCACACACTCTGAAGTTTGGTACAATTAAAAGCACTTAACATAATTCAGATTGATCCCCTGTGGTGCTAACAGGACTTAAGACCAGGGTGGGACTTTTTTAGATCAGCTGTCATTTCTCTATTGTCTTTGTAATGATTGGATTGTCCCTGTAATGATTTGTTCTAGGATCTGACTGAGTAACTAGACATGCTTTTCATTGTGTCTCTTGTAGTAAGTAGCACAGAGTAACCCAGACCCACTTAAGCAAGTTCAGACATGTGGGACTCCAATCAGACTTCTTTGTCATCTCCTCAAAGACGCCCTCTCCATGTTCCCCTAGCCTGAGACATGATCCACCACACAACACCACAGCTTGATTAGAAACACATTTTGTGAGCCACTGCTGTCAAATGTTATTTCATGTTCCTTATATTGAATGGCAGGTCACAAAACGTGGCTCTCATGTTCTGCTTTAAAGTGGCATTAAGTGGCAGAACAAAATGGATAACTCAAACTAAGTGGAACGGAAAGTGACACGGATTTAAGACTGGATTTTCACCGGCGTGTTTAGGTTCAGACTCTTTGGGGATCTACCATCTCGAGACAGCTGGATGTCATATTTCACTTTAATTTTCATTTCAGTCACTCTGCAAGGTTTCGATTCAAACATATTGCTTTCATATTTAGAGTTTCATATTTAGGTATTTGTTAAAAGGATATTATGCAAAATTGATTTTTTCATAGCTTTCTACCTTGTTATAACGTTGTTCCCTCATCAAAAACATGCCTGAAGAGGATTTAGATGTCATTCATGCCTGCTTGAGTAATTTACCGATCTCTTCTGTGCCCTATAGGAACCCTCCTTATGGTGAGCTGTAAGATTTCATTAGCAGGATGCACCTTGGCTGTGCTGCGACTGTGCTCTGAAGGCGGACTCAGAGCTCCAAAATGAAAGTGAAACTTATTAAACATGTTAATGATTTGACGCATGTAGCATTTTCAAAACAATAGACGGTAACACGGTGATGTGTTGGGAGGGGGGGGTTTGCCCAGAATGACATTACAATTTAGAAGTATTTTAATGGGAAAATACCTTGAAATCTCTGCATTATTTTGGCATATCCTCACAGATCTGACCTGTAACTTGACCTGGTGGTGTCACCTGCTTGTCTCCATGGCAATAGATAAGTTTTGCTATGCCATACTCTTTAACATTCCCTGCAAAGAAATAACACATGGCATATCCTCCACCAGAATGTTACACAGTGCACTTTAAATAAAACAAAATTAATCACCGTCTACGACTATCTATAGACATTTTAACAGAGGATTACTTAACAGTTAGGACTATGAGGTGTGTACTACTCATCTGTAATTTGAAACGTCAAGCTAAAAAACCTGTAATAAAACCACAGAGCAATAAGTACTTAATGATATCAGCACAGACCCGCCTGTTTAACCCCATAAGAACTCTGACGCTCCCACTGGCCGTCCCTAATGCATTCGTCTCAATAAATCAAATGACGCATAATTGAACATTAACCAGCTGCTAGTTAATACCACACCAGATCAAAACACAGCACTCATCTCTTCATCTGAATGGACAGAACATTTCCCCTGTTAACCATTCCCATCACAGACCTCCTCTCCCAGGCGCGTTACTCTACCTGGCCCTTTGGTGTACGGCTTTGATCCTTGCCTGGCGCATTATAACTCATAGCAGCTAGCCTGTAATTATATTCCACACACATGCGCTTTGAAATGGACCTAAGTGCAAGAATGCCTAAGGAGGATAGCGCCTCTACTCCCCCTGTGCCAAGGGAGGGACTGTTAAATTTTAGTGTTATGATTATTCTGATTTTATGGTTGTCGGGGATATTATTTGGTGCTGTGAATGGAAAAACTAGTTAAAGTCTGTATTCATTTGAATTTCAACTGTTTAATTGGACACTATACCTGTATAATTTTTTTTAGCTAACTTTCTGGCTTTCTGGCAGACTCTTAGATGTGGATTTTTATAAATGTTATTATTTATTATTTTTACTGTCTTAAAAATGTGAAAAACAGAATAAGTTGTTTTTAAATGTTCTGCAGTGGTCCAAAGTTATTCCCCACTTACGTTATGCATTCAGACCATCCTACTTAGGCCCCATCCACACTAGTACTAGTATGCATTCGAGTAATTTTTGTTGTGGATGCAGTGTTCATTCACACGATCTGGTGTCGCCAGCTCCCATGAATTCATCTACGAGTACGGGTCTGATCTGGCATTGTGTGGACTCCTGAAAACGCTGATACGCTGACGTAGGAGCTCTAGTTGCTGTAATTATTGAACCACGTCACTGTGACTTGCACCTTCCTGATTCACTGGGTTTGTGACATCGGTCATGTGACGCTATTGCAGAAAACAGCTTAAACAAACCCTAGACAAACGAGAAACAGAGCTACTTGCTAGAAGAAAAGACTGTTTTCATGCTTGCCATGTTCCTCGGCTTGAAATCGCTGCTACAACTTCAGACACGGTGCTCCTTTGCTTGTTTTTACTGCCCACATGACGTTGTAAAGTCGTGACGCCAGCCTAATCATGTCATGTGACTAGCGTTTCAGGTGGTTTCGGGTTACTGTGTGGATCATGTCGGGCCGCAAATCGTTTCCAATATGGTGATACTGTGATTTGTTTGAGTGTAAACGTAATTCATGCAATAAGTTTATAAATGCTTTCCACAAGGCCAGGTAATGCTAACAACAACAACTAGTATGCCAACAATACACTTGCTGGTTCACGGATAATAAAACAGTTTATAATTAAACACAAACAGCATACGTACAATGGCCTCATTTTGAACTTACAGAACTTGCTTTTACAATATCTCTATACTGGGATAAAACAAATTTACTTTACTCATTTAAAGAAATTTACTTTACTCATTTTAATTTTCTCATGAAAAAAAAGAAACCAGGCACCACCCCTTTAATCAAGCCCACCCTACATCTGAGTGAACGCACCATAACTTAAAGCTATAAAACAGGTCACCCAGACTGGATAATGTGTAAGGTATGCACTTTCTGTAGCTTAAGGGGACGAGTATAGCTTGTATGCTGCCTCCCTCTGCCCTGACATGTAGCCTCGATCGTCACTTTTCTGCAGGGGAAATACCTCGATGGGGGGGTGCAAAGGTAAAGGCTAAAGAATATTGAAATATGAG